TGAATAAACAAAATTTGTGTTGCTGAGAGGCAAAATGCACAGAAAACATACATATTTGTATAAATTAAGAGATTGAAAATTGGAGGTTTGTGAAGAGTTGAACAAATGAAATACACTCAAGAGATCTAGCGAAATTATCTGAGAAAATATCAGAAAGTATATCATAAAACCATTAGATAGTATCCCAGACAACCATTCGAAAGTACAAACATTAGAGAGACCACAGACAACCGTCAGAAAGTCCACATATAATGAACTATGACAAGGTAAATAAGAAATAATTTAGAAACCCTAAAGTCTATCAAAAAACTATTAGTTCCTGCAGCAATGAGATGAGGTCATGAAAACTTTAGAGGCATCTCTCCAAAAAAAATGGTTATTTGTTAGTTGCAGCAATTTCATTTCTTGACACCTCTCGTACAAAAAGATTAAAAACAAATGTCAGCGAATAAATAAAATAAGATAAACCATATGAAACATAAATAATTATAAACATATTTAAATAACTATGAAAATAAAATAAAATAAAGCCCAATTAAACTAGAATCTTAGTTTCATCAGATTGAATTGGGTCTCTCAGTAAATTTCTTTTGAATCCCTTTATTTCAAGTTGTTTCCTCTCTGTAGCATTCCATTTTAACTAACAATGCATGAAATCTTATAAATCGACATTCACCAAAAATACTAAAAAAAGGTTAGACAATATAACGTTCAATTATTGACCCAATTGTTAAGTGTTTACGAAAATATCAATAAGACAATTCGGTGCTGAGGGTCATTTTAATGACCACAGGGAAAAATACAGCACTGCACAGCCATGTTGCTAAGATATTAACAGGCCACTTTCTTGCTCAATACAGTTCAAGAGGGAAATTGATTTTGATAATAATAGGTATATGAAACATCTGCTTGACTACAATGAATCAAATTGGGGATTCTGACATTTGTTAAATGTGACGGCTGGTAAATGACATGAAAGTATAATATAAATGGAATGAATGGAACACTTACAGGTTAAATTTGAGCAAGGAAATTGTGTGTTTTTTTTCAAGCATATGATATATATTCTAGTTGTCAGCAATTTGTTTAATGATAAATGTCCAATTCTAATGTTCATAAAAGCATAAAATTGTTATTAAAACTATTACATTTATACACTAGCAAAACTAGACTAGCAACTCTACATGACAGCAACTTATTGGCTAATCGACCCAAAATACCTCTTTAATAAAAAATAAAGAAACATCATGTTTGTTTGTATGTTATATATTGACTCCACTACAGTCTGAGTACACTGCCAGCAGTAGCTCTAAAACAAAGTTTACGGGTTTTACCTGCTCAACAATTCATGAATTTTACCAACTCAACAATTTTTGAATTATCAACAAATTTATGGGTACCACCTGTTCAATAATTCACAAAAATTCCTAAATCATACCACAATTCTCATGACAGAAGAGGCATTTATATTACACACAAATTGTTCTATGAGGGATACATTCACTGTTAAATAAATAATAACCTCTTACCTTTTTTGCAGGAGAAGTGATTTGATCCATCAAATCTGAAGGCAGCAGACATAGACATTCACTCAATAACCATAGCAACGGAATGTGGTGATTCTGTTTTTCAAAAAAGAAATATGAAATGTATAATATACCTCAATTTTTACCATGGTAATGATAACAACAATATGACATTTGAATCCATCTTCAACTCCCATCAATTCATTATAAGTGTTTATTTATTTATTATTATTATACATCTGTCACCGTAACGCCATAAGTTACAGCGTGCCGTAATTTCGCGGTATTTTACGGGGTATTTCATCCTACCATATAAGAAAATGTGAATTCCAAATATGGAATGATTACGCGCGTAAGCGTCCTCTAATAATAAAAACAAACATGGCTGCCGCCGGGGGTTTGACCGAACTCCACACAAAGAAGTTCGCAGATTCTGTTGTAAACTTTTTAGATTTCGGCATTCCTATAATAAGGTTATTACGAGGATACCTCAAAGTATGCACTCAGACAGTACTGTACTCAGCTGTACTGTCGTCGTGCATACTTTGAGGTATTCTTGTAATAACTTCATAGTATCACAATGAATTTTTTACTATTTATTTATTTGTAAATTGAATAAAGGTTCATGCATTTACAAATACTCCATATAATGGATCTGATTGTTAACTTTAAGAGAGACCAATGTGTCCGCTGTTGGTGGTGCAATGAAAAAAATTAAAGAAAGAAAAAAAGTCTTCATAGTAGGACCTCATAAAAAATAATTAAACCAATTAAATAGACAATTAAAAATTTAGAGGGAAACATGTTAAAAAATATATAAACGACAGTAAGTTCAATTGGCAGAAGTTGATCATAAAAAAGCACTCTCAGATGTCTGCTGAGTAACCAATCAGTGCAGCATGCCCTCTTATAATTGATTAGCTTCAATGCGGAATCATTTCATAT